TGTGTGTGTGTGTGTGTGTGTGTGTGTGTGTGTGTGTGTGTGTGTGTATGCACAGTGGACAGAAATCTGATTCCCATTCAAGAACTCTCTAGCAGGGCACGGGCTGAAGTGCTGGGAGCAAGACCAGAGAGTTCGCTGCTGTGCTCCTGTGGAAACAATGTGGGGTGTACCTACTTCCATCATGGCTGATTTCAAGCTGCCAACATGATGTTCCTGAATTCAGAGCTGGGAAGAGATGCACATGGTCAGCTCTCACGAGCCAGTATGAGCTGGCTCTGCACACCACTTACTCCCTCTAGCACACACTTAAACCTCAGATCCTTTTTTTTCACTGCAAAAAACTCAGATCCTTTTTTAATAGGGCCATCCAGAAGGGCAATGGGACATAAGTAGAAAGAAACTTGGCAGTGGACCACAGGATGCCTGTGGGCTGAGCCCTGCACCTATCTATTTTTCTCCCCTAAGTTCCCCCTACACCACCTTCTACTCTTCTGCTACTTGTCCTGGGAAGCTGCCTGGTGGAACAGTGGGCTTCCTTACCCCTTGCCTTCTGTCTGGGCTCAGCCAACGGTGAGCATGGGCAAGTGACTGGAGGCACGGGAGGGGAGAGGGGCTGAGGTGCCATGAGCTGGATGCACTGCTTGACTGGAGGTCATAGCTCCTATCAGATGGCCTGAGTCTTTCTGCACAGCCCTTTATGTCTTCAGGTTCAGGTAACTGCTCACTCTTCTTGCCCCCTCAGGTCTAGGGGCAGCAATGCTTCCTACCCTGCTGTTGTTACAACCTCTGCGTTTCCCTGAATTCTGCTAACAGCTTTGTAAATAGGCTTATATTTAACTCTCTTTACCATACCTGATTTTTTTTTTTTTTTTTTTGAGAGAGGGCACAAGTAGGGGGAAGGGACAGAAGGAGAGAATATTAAGCCGCTCCACTTCAGCACAGAGCCCTATGTGGGCTCGATCTCATGACTCTGAGATTATGACCTGAGCTAAAATCAAGGGTCAGATGCCTGGACTGAGCCACCCAGGCGCCCCACCTAATTTGATTATTGATTTCAGTAATCTGCTTTGTGTTTGGAACCTGACCCAGAAAGGCTCAAAGTGGGTAAGCAATTGTCCAATAAGATACATTCCATCAGATCAAGGGACCTCCAGGAACCCATGAAAGTACCCCAAGTGAGGAAGAGTCAGCTTGAAACATCTGCGGGGCCCAAAGAGCACAAAGCCATGTTACAAAGTACCAGTCAAGTAACACCTTTACCAACTGCCTTTTCTCCTTCTCTTCAACTCCTTCTTGGAGTCAGGGAAAATTGAGCTCAGCAGACTGAGGGAGGAAGTGTCTTAGAAAGAGAAGGAGCTGATTGTATTCCTTTCCTCCAGGCGGTTAGCCTTAGCTGGGGAAAAGGATAGAAGTCTTAGCTTTGAGTGAAATTTGAATTGTTGAGACTGTAGTTACAATATAAAATGACCAATGTTTTTTGGTTCTTGTTTGTTTTGTTTGTAATTAACAATGAAGGAGCAACTGAGTTACTGAGCTGTCCAATTTCCACCCAGTGCAGAGGCCGAACTGTCTCTACTGCAAGGACTTACAGAGATGGTGGAAGAACAACAAAAGGTGGGCTAACAAGCACTTCCCCTGCATTGCTCAGTATGTCCAGCACACCCTCTTTAGCTATGAGGTCCCTCCTAGAGGACACAAGGCACCTAGAAAAGGAAATGAGAAGTGGTAAATTTTTTGTTCCCATCTTTAAGTGAAATGCTCCTGACACAAACAGTAGTGAGGAAATGAAAGTTAATCAGAATTGAATTGGGATTTGGTTTTTACGACCACTGCTATCATGGGGATTCCACTTAACAGTAATTTTTATCTGATCTCTGAACCCTTGGAATGTAATCCTTCATCAAGTTCTGGAAATTATTATAAACCATTTCAAACATAAAAAAGTTTAGTAAGTGATATAAATAACACCCACATAGCACCTCCGTATTTTGAAAAACTCCATAGTACGCCATAGGTGCTTCCCAGTGTGTGCACGTGTGTTTGAATGAGAATATTGCAGAGCTGGGGGAGACCTGCTTAGTACTCACCCCCAACCACTATCCCTGCCCCCCAAAGATGACACTGTCTTGATGGTGCTGTAGACCTTCCCTTCTTGCTGGCACACTCTGACCCTGTATCTCTAATATCCCTTAAAATTACTTCATTACTTAGCTATTTCTTGACCTAAGAGGAGGTGGCAGAGGGGTTCTGTTTGTAAGTATTTGTTGGACTGTACATCTGTACATATGTTTTATGCATTTTTCTGTACTTGATGTTATCTTGCACCATAACACAAAGCTCCCATTCCCCTCCCCCAATACACGATATCACCAGTTTTACAATATACATAAATGGCATCATTCCACATATATCCTTCAGCAATTTTCTTTCTTGCAATCATCATTGTGTTTCTGAGATTTTTTTTTTTTAATTTTTTATTGTTATGTTAATCACCATATATTACATCATTAGTTTATGATGCAGTGTTCCATGATTCATTGTTTGTTCATAACACCCAGTGCACCATGCAAAACGTGCCCTCCTCAATACCCATCACCAGGCTAACCCATCCCCCCACCCCCCTACCCTCTAGAACCCTCAGTTTGTTTTT